CAGACACATCCATGTCTGTTCATGATCAAGCGTACATGTTACTCATATGTTGTATCCAGACTCTGATTGGTCATTTGGTAATGTCCTGGGTTCACCGCTATGCAGGCATTTACCTCTCACCCAAAGGTGCCCACGTGGGTATTTATAAATACTGAATTATAATTGATATTATCATATATTTAGGTCAATGTCAATAATCTTTATGTTTAACTATATATTAATAGTACTTTATAATTCTATACATCCATATGTGTTGCAACAGATGTACCAAATGCATCCATCTAGCTGACAATCTTAATTACAGCTTATTTGGTGGGTAGGACTTATATTACAGGAACCTTAAAAAAAATCATACTAGGGCTTATTTTCCAGTTAGGCCTTATTTTCAGGGAAATGTGGTACCAAAGAATGGTATGGCTGGATCAAATGGTAGCACTATTTTTAGTTCTTTGAGGAACTAATTTCTGTACTAATTTACACTCCCACCAGAAGTTCTGTACTAATTTATATTCCCACCAGAAGTTCCCCTGCCCCATCTTCAGCAGCATTTATTTGTTTTTTATTCAAGTGATAGCACTAATAGCTTATTTTAAGTGTCTTCTGTAATGCTGGCTTAGTGGTTATGAATTTCTTTAGCTTAAGCTTATTTTACAAAGTTTTATTTCTTCTTTAGTTTGGAAGGACAGCTTTGGTGGATCTAGTAATATAGATCAGCATGCATTTTCTTTTAGGGCTTGAATACTTCATTCTGTGCTTTCCTAGCCTTCACTGTTTCTGCATGGAAGTCAGAAGTTTTTCTCATGGGTTTCCCTCTTAGTGACTTGGAATTTCTCCCTTACTGTTTTCAATATTATTTCATTCTCTTGCCACTTATCTTGGTCACTTTCTTGTTGCTGAAACAAAAAGCACAACACCCAACATTAAGAGAGGTAAAGTTGTAGCTCACAGCTGAAGAGGTTTCAATCCATAGCTGGTAGGCTCCAAGGCAGGGTGCCATGGCAGAACCACATGACAAAGGAGACAGAGTTCATGGAACAGCAGGCAGCAAGCCTTCCTTTTGTCCCTTCATATTTTACCCATCCCACAAACCTATTGGGTGATACCACCCACATCCATAATAGGGCTTCTTTCGGTCTTTGGTAAATTCATTCAACCACATCCAGAACCATGGCAATCGAATCAGTGGACTAATGCATATTCCAGCTACCTCTGAAAAGACCCATTTGTGGGCACATGAAGTTTTGAGGGGACATCGAGATACAGGACATCCACCATTTTAACTACAATATGATATAGAGATCACATTTCTGACTGTGACTGTTTGGAGTTCCAAATGTCTCCTGTACCTGAATATCTGTACCTTTCCCAGGATTTAGGAAGTTTTCTGTTATTATTTCATTTAAGAAGATTTTCTCTGACCCAGGCATGGTGGTGCACACCTGTTATCCCAGAACTCAGGAAACTGAAGCAGGGTAGCCCTGAAATCAAAGCCAGCCTGGGCTATATAATGAGTTCAAGGCTAGCCTGAACTATATAGCAAGTCCCTGCCCAAGAAAAAAAGGATTTTTCTCTGCTATGAGCCTGAACCTTGGCACCTCTTCTACACCAAAAATTCCTAAAGTTTGGCCTGAAAACCATGTCCCAGAGTTCTAGCATGTTTTGTTCATATTTGGGGGGCAGGGAGATAGCTCAGCAGCATAAATGCATGCCTGGCAAGTGCAAGGTCCTGAGTTCAATCCCTGATACTGAAGGAAAAAAGAGCAATATACATAATGGGGGGGGGGCTTTTTCTATGTCTGATTCCTTGTCTTCAGGACCTGAAACATTATTTATTTTTTACCTGATTTTGTTTATTAGTGATGCTTTCCACTGAGGTTTTGATTTGATTTAATTTCCAGAATTTATTTGGTTTTTCAGAATCTCTTTGTTGAACTGTTCCTTCATGCCCTGCATGGTCTTCCTTAATTCATTTAGCTTTTATTTATATCCTCTGTAAATATATTGATCATCTTGTCAATCGGCCTTTTGAATTCTTTGGCATTTTATCCACTTTTATTATTGCATTTATTGAATGCATTTCAGTGAATTATGAAAATTTGGAGGAGTTGTGTTGGTTTTTATTTTCAACTTATTGTGTTTATATACAGAGATTTATACATTTGTTGAGATAGATATCTTTACTGCTGTTATTTGAGAGAAATCTTGATGTCCAGCCTTCTTTTGAGGACTTCTCAGAGAAAAGAAAATAAACTATAGTAATGTCAATGGTACAAAGACAAGCCAGATATTACAGACAGAGATTACCAAAAGCAATAACTATACCATCATTAGCAATAAAAAGTAATCTGCAATAGTAATAAAAATTAAACAACTAAAAATCATTATTTTTATGTATGTGGTACAGGTCTCACTATGCAGCTCAGACTCATAATGATCCTCCTGTTTTCAGCCTCCCCAGCCCTGGGATTATAGGCATGCACTACCATGCCTGTCTCGGTGGCCAGTTCAGCATGCCTGGGGGTGGAGCCCATACAGTAGGTGGTACCTGGATCGAACCTCAGTCCCTGTGTTTGCCTAAGCAGGCCCTTAGTCTGCTGAGCTATCTTGCCAGCCCTGAAAATCATTAAAAGTTAATAGTGATGATAATGATGATGATGATTTTGACAGACAGAGAAATGAGAAAAACAGATTTTAAAAATAGAGAGAAAAGTGAGATTAAAAAATCCAATAAGAGAGTTTTAAATGTGAATTGAATTAGGTAAAAGTAACAGAAAAAAAGAAAAGAAAGAAAAAGAAAAAAGAGAAAGAAGTTCACTAGTCTAAACATTTCCTACATTATGAGGTGTTTGGGTGAGTAGTTTCCAGCTTTGTAGTATTAGAGTCCATCCGACAGTGGGTGGGGCTAGTGAGTCACACCTGGAGCCTGTTACATGTCCACATAACACTAAATCTTGCCCCACCTTTTGCACTGGGGTAGGGGTGGGGTCAGTGAATGCTATGCCATCTGCCCCAAGACTGTATTTACCCCAGGTGCTAATTAGTATCTTTTGTGTCCATTTGTGCATCATGAGCCACTGTTATCTCTGACTAGCTTTGCAGTCTATGAATTTATGAGGTTCCCCTCATTGCTCCAGTGGCTTCTCTGTCCGTTTACACAGGGACATGACAAATGTACAGGCAGAACACAGCACTGATCATGTTGGTGAAGGGGGAAAATAAACAGATACTGAGTTCTGTGCTGGAAGTATGCAGCAGAGGGAAGGGAGGTAAGCTATCCACTGGATTCATTTCTTTCTTTCTTTCTTTTCCCTTTTTTTTTTTTTTTTTTTTTTTTTTTTTTTTTCTGTATTTTGTTAGGGAAGGGTCTACAGGGTGTTTGGGGTCTCACTACTGGATCGGACTCATAGTGATTCTCCTGTTTACAGCCTCCCAAGTGCTGGGATTACAGGCATGCACCACCACGCCCAGCCTTCTCAGTGCACCCCAGGGGTGGGGCTGGCAGAGCAGGCCCAAGGATCAAATCCCCAAGCCCTGCGCCTGCTAGCAGGTGCTTTATCTTCCACCTCCACCCCCACCCCCACCCCCGCAGCCAGGGATTGAACTGAGGCCCTTGGCAAGTGCTTATTCTACTGAGCTATCTCCCCAGTTATTCTACTGAGCTATCTCCCCAG